TGTTCATAGTTATTTGAAAAAATTATAATAACTTCACATCAGTTTCAAGGATTTCAGGAATGTTTCAGTTAAATATGCAGCAGAGTTTGTATATTTGGCAAATTACTGCATATCCTCTGTTTCCATTAGCTGTTAACATACAGACTTATGATAGTATTTAAATATAAATCACTGCATCACATTTAAAACCGTCTGCATGCAGCTATTCTGTCAAAACTGTGTAAAGCTTCACATAAGTGTAATGCACTATTAGAAATGTTACTTATGCACCAGCATTAGATCTCAAACACTGTCAAATCTTGTTTAACCTGTGGTATGCAAGAAATAGACAACACTGTCAGTATTTCACTGGAATCTGCTCGAGTCTTCAGACTGAAGCACTTTGCAGATAAACTCACTCCATATTATTTTGTTTTAACCTGCCTCAGAGGTGCTGGAGTCAGTGCAGGACTGGTAACACTGTGCCATCAGGGAGGTGGTGTTACACCTGTCTGCACACCAATCTATGAGTGAAGGGCTCAGTAGTGCCCCACTCAACAACATCACACCAGCCAGAGCACACACAAAGCTGCAGCAATGCAAATGTAGAGGCCATTACGAGTCGCACTGCTTTGCCATAGAGCGTAAAAATAAGCTGACACCAAAGATGAAAGTTGTGTTACTCGTAGTTAGATGCATGATCCCTGCAAGAAAGCTGCTGCACGCACAAACTGTCCCAAAGGCGGTCTTGATATTTAGATGCATTACAACTTTGCAAAAAAACACAAAAATAGTTAGTACTCATGTAAAAATGGCGTCTGGTGTCATCCCAGTGCCACAGTCTCTTGTTAAAGATGCACTTAAAATGCTAAAGTACTTTGCATGACAACAAAATACTGTAATAATTACAATATTGCAATATACTGCAATATTACACATGAGAAGCTTGGGTTGAACCACAACAGTCTCAGCCGTTAATGTGATTTGGTGCTTTATAACTAAAATGAAAAGGTCTGGAGAGTTTTGTGATCACGTCTTTCATCATTTTGGTCCTTCGCCTCCACGAGTTGTGTCCACAGGCAGACGCATGAACATCTGTCTCTGTGTTTGTTTCTCTACAGATGTGTACCTGTGGTGAGAGGCATCTGTCAGGCTAGGAGAGCTGAGCTCTGGATGGTGTTTCTGGTTCTGGTACAGGAAGGGTGTGGCCAGAGTGCATGAGTGTAGCCAGGTGCTCTTCAGACTGCAGCTTTTCACATGTTCACCTCCTGCTGTTCAAAGCCCAGAGCTTCAAATCCCTCCTGCAGGCATCTTTGTGTCGTGGTTGGGGTCATACATTTTCACTACATGGCCAACGTGTGCATTTCCATTTCACCAGGTGTGCATGGCAGGGACTGCTGCTCTTTCCAGGATGGTGTTCTTTGCATTTCATCACACAAAGCTTATTGCAGTGTCTCTGTCACCCATGTTTTTGTACGGTGTGACTCTGCTTCTCTCTAGCATTTCTTCAGGACTTCATGCTGCTTGGTAACGAGGGTTCCTGTGCAGCGCTTCATCCAGGCTGGTGCACTGTTGAGCTTCTCCAAAACAGCAGATACTCAGGGCTATTCAGCGCATGTTCAGTGACAATATTCTCTCTGGCACGCAGCTCAGAGTGGTGTTCACCTCAGCCCTCCATCTATTGTCTCTGATCCTGATTTTCTCACCGTTGATAGATTTTCCTCTGTGGTGGAGGATGGGCGAAGAGCTGACTCATTTGAAAAGAGCTGAGTAAAGCTTCTGCACCTGCATACACTCAGAAGGAGCCAGCTGAGGCGCTGTGGGCATTCAAAAAGGCTCCAGACAACATGTATGTAAAGTGTTTTGGGTGTCCAACCTGAAGACCTGAAGGCAGACCCAGGACACACTACAGACATCATGTGTCTCTGCTGGGTTGCAAATGCTCGTGTTCCCCAGAAGAAGAGCTGGAGGAGGTGGTCTGGGCATCTCTGATGACCTCTGATGACCTCTGATGACCTGGGCCAATAAGTGAAAGAAACTGGATCGGATAGTACTATCATTACTATTGCCGCCATCTTCCCCTCACTTTGCCCATCCTTGTCTCAACAGCGATACTGAACAATGACATTAATCTCTCAGTTTCTGCCCCCCCCCCGACCTGTGTCCCTGTGGCTGCTGGCGACACTAGTATTGATGTAAGTGCTGTTTTCTCTCATTAATTTATCAGCTCAGTAGAGGAGGGGGGCCTCCGCAGGGCGAGATAATGGCTTCCATTTGGCCAAGGTCAACAGTCAACACATTCCTCAGTCGTTCAAATATAACCACACATTAACTTGTGTCACCAATACCACCCACACGCACGCACACACACACACACACAGCTAATAGACTGTCAGTGAGCTGTCCTGCTGCCTATGACTGTTTCATCCTGTTAAAGAGGTGATATAAAGTCCCACATCTGAGAAACAGCCAAATATCAGCGTGGTTACCTTCAGACAGCAAAGCTCACCTCATCAGTATCCTTCCTGTCTGTGCATCGCTCGTGATGTTTGAGTCTGAGAGTTGTTTTATGATCATGATCAGGTCACAGTAACGTTCTGTTGGTGCTACTCTTTAGCTGCAAATGATTCAAATTATAACTATCATCACAGTCACCGGATCTTATTATTCTGCATAACTTGTTAGGACAAAAACAAGCAGTGTGTGTGTGTGTGTGTGTGTGTGTGTGTGTGTGTGTGTGTGTGTGTGTGTGTGTGTGTGTGTATTGGCCAGATCAGATGGGCACTTTGGAATCAGTCAGCTATCTTCTGAACATTTCACCCACCAACTGTTTGTGCTATTTGTCCAAATGTTGACTTTACCTGCACAATTTGTGAACCATTACACAATACAGGAGCTGAGATCAATCAGTGTGCTCTGGGTTTGAGTATAGTCTTGTACGGTGAGGCCGTTGAACCTCAGCGATGGTAATGCAGCTCGAGTATGGCTACAAGAGCAATGACCTCTCCCTCCAAATATCGCACAGCGTTAAGAAAAAAGTTACATTTCCCAGAACACGTTTTCATTTCAATTCCCGATTGGTGTTAAGTAATCTATTATATGAACTAGTACTGTGAACGTATTGTAAGACTATCAATCCAGCCTTGCTGCTATCTCTCTGCTGTCCCCGCGCTTCTGAGGGTTCACTCAATCATTAACCTAATCTACTCACTGAAAAAGTCCCACTCATGCTGTTTGCATGAGTTTGACGATAAGCTATTTGAAGTTGAATGTGGTGATGGGACAACAATTGACAAGGACTAAACTGTTTGATAATCTTTGGCTGCTTTTGATTCCTCAGAGATTCTGAAACTGGAAACGGCAGAATGAAGAGCAGCGAATCGCTTTTTAGCTTCCAAGTCAAACATTTGTATTTGCTTGAAAAATTCTAATTAAAAGCTGCTTTGTTGGCGCCGCCTCACAAATCTCAGCTGAAAGTGCTGACACAGTTTACACATCATGAAATAACAACTATGACTAATCTAGAATCCTCTATAAAGTCCAACAACTGGTCCCAGATCTCCCCAGAGGCCCACAAGTGTTAAACACAGGCCTGATAGTTTTAAACTTTCACATTTGTTTTCTGTTTCTTTAAATGAACGATGGTTTCAGGGTTTTTGCAGATTTTGTTTCTTTTCTCTTGCTCTCTATTTTGAAAACCACACAGAGCAGTGTGACTGTAATTCAGCTTAATGCAGCACAGGGGGTCCTAATGTACCTCCTCACATTCACTACTGATAGTAAAGGCAGTTATCATTCATTATCCCTGAGTGATTACACACTCTGATGATCCTCCACAAGTTTGCAGCTCTTCCTTTTTAGCTCAGCTGTTCTTCAGTGTTTTTGTCCCTGACGCTCAATGTTTTATAAAGCCACACGTCTGGATGCATTTTACATATAATAACACATTCAAAATTTCAATTCTGATTTTCCATGAATGTAACAGCAACATTAAACCAATATTAATAAAATATTACTGAAGACGGCTCCTTTTATTCAAGTCAGATTTGAAATGCGCTATTTTTATATTTATCGTGTTGTGTTGGTACATTCATCTACAGTCTGCTTCTTTTCTGTTTTAAACGCCACTGATTTCCACACTGTAGTAAAAGAATTAGAGGCTATAACCAGCACAGCCACACATCTAACACATCGTAATGTGGCTGCTGCTGTTTTATGAGATAAACCTTTAACCAATCAGAAACGAAAATGTGAAAATAAACAAAGAAAAGGAGAAAAGTCTCAGATCTGCAGGTACACAAAAAACTACCGCGTTGGATATAAACATGTGCAAAATATATTTCAGGCTTAATGTGTAACAGACACAACATGACGTGTGTATGAAGTTTGTTCTATCATTCTGCACTACAGCTCAGCGTTTAGACACGACGTGTCGCACTTTTACTCGCACTGATTCTGTTAAACGTCCGAATAATGAGTGAGTTTGAACCGGACCAGTTCTTGTTGTTTTGGGTTTTCTGTGATTATTTGGACTGATTATAATTCTTCCTGCTTCTTGGCGGATCTTTCACGCGTTGCTGGATGTGCGAGAAATGCTTCATTTACAACGTTTCATTTTCAGACAGCAGAGAAAAGAGTTCACAGACCAGCTGAGCTGCATCGAAACGTTTGGATTGATTGTCAGAAAATAGTTTATTAGACATCAAACAAAACTGAATTTGCGCTACATTGATTATTTAATAAAATGTCACATAAGAAACACACGCCGACACACACACGCCGACACACACACGCCGACACACACACGCAAAACAAAACAAAAAGAACTAAAAAACACGCTATAAAAACACGTTTATGCTACAGTACAGAGAAACTGATCTACAGGCATACTATTCATCTGAAGAACATCTCTCTCTCTCACACACACACACACACACACACACACACACACACACACACACACACACACACACACACACAC